CCTTGCCTTAGATTCTAGGGAATATAGAGCAGCCAAAATCTCACGAGGGGATGTGCTTGCGATTTACTGGAGTGTCTTGTAGTGAGATTTCACATGATCTGCATTCCACAGGAATCTTCCTGGAAGGACAGTGACATCATGGCTATTGATGCAGAAGATGGAGGTAAGGTGAGTATAAAACTAAACTTTTCTTTATAGTCACATTTGGCACCTAGCAACATTGGAAGAACTGGAAGGTCTGTCTTAAGAAGCTGCCCCCTAAGTGTACATCATCCAGCTGCCCTTGGCTTACAGGAGAATGCTACAGAGAGCCACTCATTAGCAGGCTGTGGCAATGCATAACGAGTAGCTGATATAAAGACAGAGTCAGGTACTTACGCTAGCTTTAATTAATACCTAAATGTGATTTTTATTCTACTTGGAGGTCAGCTTTAAATAAGAACTCCGGGCAATTTTTTTTATTAACCTTTGCAGTAGGGCTCCCCCCAATCACTAGACCTTAGACCACTGCAGCAGAGCAAGGCTAAAAGGACCAGTCTACAAAAAAAATAAGACCTACCCCGAAAATAAGACCTAGCGAGTTTTTTTGAGTCAAAAAAAAATATAAGACTGTGTCTTATTTTCAGGGAAACACGGTAAGAGCAAGCTGGCTCAGATGATCAGGTGAGTATAACATTTTTATTTTCCTCCCTAGACCGAAACAAGCAGTTAACCCTTGCAGTGAGGGGGTAAAAAAAGATCTAACAAGCTTGATATCTTGCAATTTTTAAATTATTTTTCTGCTTTTCTTAAATTTTTAACAAAAGCTAAACATTAAGACACAATATGCCCTAAATGGTACTCATGCCATTATTCTTTATAGCTAGGGATTTACAGATACGGTTTTTCGGTATCGAGTAGCGATATTTATCTTTCGGTGCTTGCCGATACAGAGTACCAATACTGGTACTTCCGCTAGCATGGAGCCTGCTTCCTGGCCAATCAGGAAGCCAGGCGGCATGGCATAATCCGCTGCCCACCTTCTTGATTGCCCGGGAAGCCAGCTCCATGCTGTTTGGCAGGGCACAGGATGGCGCAGTGAGCTGACAGCCTTTCTCCCCACACACAGGTGATGTGGTCATGGTGGGCTGCATGCGGGGAGCTGAGGGACTGGATGACAGGCCGGCTTGGGTCAGCCCACCAAATAACTGCACTTTATGCCCAATGGCCAGTCTGGGCCTGGTCCCCGGAGGGTCTTACCACTTTCCAGGTTCATTAGGATTGATAATAGTCATATTCAGATGCATTCAAAGCATTTTTGCCTTGTAAGCATCGGTAAAAACATGCTGGCTGTCGTCCACGGCTGTGATCCGCAGGGTAGCCGGATATACCAGTGTAAATTTAACCATACCATTAACCAGTGACATCTTTAAACAAAGGCCTTATGTTGTCTCGTCATCTCTGTGGAAAATCCGAGAAAACTAATAGGATATGATTTTGAACCATTAGGTGCTTCTGGCTATGATAGGCCCATAAAATGGTGATTAATCAGTGAAGTCCAGATAACAAGTGAAAACAGGACGTAGAGTCATCGGGTCCTACTGTTGTGAACCTAGTTTATGGGCTCTTTTAACCTTAAAAGGGCTATGCAGCCCAAAGCTTCCAGGATAGCAGCAGAGCACAGTAACTCCAATTCTGCCCGCTGAAATGATTGAAATAATTTCTCCTCTAGCTGTTCTCATGATTATCCAGTTTTTCCATCATATTAGTATGTCGCTTGTGCAGATATTCTGAGTGGGGCTGGGCAAGCCCAGGGGAGTCTTCCAGTGTACTCAGTTGGGTCTCGAACTCAGTAAGGTGGGTGCCATGTTCATCCACCTCATCCTTGAGTTCATGGAAGTATGGTGTAAGCACTTCTTGGAGGGAAGAACTCAAGACCGGTTTCAGATGAAGAGCAACTTCAGAGAGAGAGAGAGAGAGAGAGAGAGAGAGAGAGAGAGAGAGAGAAAGGTTTTGGGCCCATTAAGACTACTGCAGTCCCTTACTGCGCGTTAATGCACATACAATAACGTGCATTACATCACACATTAATGTGTGTTCTGTTAAGGCAGCCCTTACATTAGGAATGGGCCACATGTGGCTCATTGACACTTATTGGAGCTGTTTAAAAGCATTCAGTTTACTACCTGATTTGAATTTTGTATCTGCTTCTTGTGGAGCCAATCAAGTGTGGTGTAGTGCTCATGTGTTAACAAGTGTTCAACATGAGGAACATGCTGACAGAAGAAGAAAGCAGAGTGACAGAAAGATGAACTCATATGTCTGCTGCTTCTCCTCCTTCACTGTCCAGTCGCAGGCTGAGCAGAAGAAGACTTAGTTGTATTATTTAACTGCAGTAGAGAAAAGCACTATGGTTCTGATTTCTGGCTGGACTGCGTAAATCTCAGCAATAAATGCACAGAAATACAGATCATCTGATAGGTAAATCAGCTTTCATATATGTAGTTCATGTGTGTATGTGTCCGTCTGAAGGTCAGCTTTAAAGGAAACCATACCTGAGAGAAACATGGAGGCTGCCACTGCTGACTTCCCATACTGCAAATGTTTGAATTATGGCTGTCGTGCTGACACTGGCCACTAGCATTTTCTGAAGAAGGTCAGCAGTGACAACCGCCATGCTTCTCCCAGGTAAGATTCACATGAAATAAGGTAGGCAGAGTCACAGTACTGACTGCATTTTGTCTTGATTGCCGATAGTTGCTCTCATATTGTCATGATTGCCATTAGTTACTCTTATATTGTAATGATTGCCGATAGTTGCTCTCATATTGTCATGATTGCCATTAGTTGCTCTCATATTGTCATTATTGCTGTTTTTATCCCAGGTATTGTCACCATTGCCTATTTGTTTCCCACCTATTCTATCTATTGTTCATTTGTAGTTCATGAATCCTCAGGAATGCCCTTTTATTTTGTCTCCATGATATCAAGTCAGTGCTGTTTGTTTAGAGGACCATATTATTATATAATTGAATCACCTAAAATCCTGTCACTATCAAACCACAGCACTGTTGGTGCCATACTTGGCCCCATCAAACTATATGCCCTTGCTATTAAACTGTTGCCTCCTTATTGACATGGTGTGCACTAGTGGCTCTTCCTCTTGCCCTCTCGAGCCCACCTACTTTGGAAAGCTCCCTGGTATTGGTATAATTGTACACTGACTGGCTGGGGTCACTATGAGGGGCTCCATTTCTCTTTAATGGATTTGTTTGCTATTTTTTTATGGAAAGGTGCTGGAACACACAAACGTAGGTGGAAAATGTCCAAGTGGACAGGAACTGAAGCAGGGAGATCTCTGTCATAATCCACTTTTGGGGTGCCTGTTCCTCTAAGGTAAACATTGCAATTTTAAATATAAGCCCCTGTTCACACCTATGAGTGACATTTGCTGCATTGCAGTAGGGCAGACCATTCATTTAAGTGGTCTGCCTAATGCATCTGAATCGCACAAAAGAAGTACATGTTCTTTTTTTTAAATCACATTGTGCCACAATGAATGGTAATAACTGTGGTGCAATGCAATGTGATACAATGATACAATGCCCTGGGACATTCTGGCTGGCATCCCGCGGAGCCCCTGGCAGCCTGTAATGTCACGGGTTGCCAGGAGCTCGGTAGGATGCCAGCTAGAGTGTCCCAGGTTGCTAAGTGCTGGGCATGGATGTGTATGGCTTTAACACATCTCCCGATCCAGCTCATAGCATGCCGCCACTGGACTCTAGAGAAGTGGAGACATGTTCTCTGGAGTGAGAAATCATGCTTCTCTGTCTGGCAATCCGATGGATGTGTCTGGATTTGGCAGTTCCCAGGAGAACGGTACTTGCCTGACTGCATTGTGCCAAGTGTAAAGTTTGGTGGAGGGGGGATTATGGTGTGGGGTTGTTTTTCAGGAGTTGGGCTTGGCCCCTTAGTTCCAGTGAAGGGAACTCTTAAGGCATCAGCATACCAAGACATGTTGGACAATTTCATACTCCCAACTTTGTGGGAGCAGTTTGGGGATGGCCCCTTTCTCCCATGACTGCGCACCAGTGTACAAAGCAAGGTCCATAAAGACATGGATGAGCAAGTTTGGGGTGGAGGAACTTGACTGGCCTGCACAGAGTGCTGACCTCAACCCAATAGAACCCCTTTTGGATGAATTAGAGCAGAGACTGCGAGCCAGGCCTTCTCCTCCAGCATCAGTACCTGACCTCACAAATGCGCTTCTGGAAGAATGGTCAAACATTTCCATAGACACGCTCCTAAACCTTGTGGACGCCTCCCCAGAAGAGTTGAAGCTGTTATAGCGGCAAAGGGTGGGCCAACTCCATATTGAACCCTACGGAGTAAGACTGAGATGCCATTAAAGTTCATGTGCTTGTAAAGGCAGGCGTCCCAATACTTTTGGCAATATAGTGTAGATGTTAATGGGGGTTTAACATGCGTTTATTACTAATACATTATGTTTCTCTTTAAACACTTCAGCTCTTACATATGGTGACATGCATAAAATACACGCTACATAACATTATATGACAGTAATCATGACAGTGAACCCTTTGACCTCAGAACTCCACAAATTCACCTCACATGCACGTAGCCCACGAGCTTCACTTGTCAATCTTATTGATTGAAACATCCTCAGCCAATCAACCCTCTCCACCACAGACCGAGCACCAGACTCAACCCACCCACTCCTAGAGATCTGCTACTCCAATCAAATCCCCTTTATAAATACATGTGTTCCTATCCTCCAATCAGTGACAAGCCATACAAGAGATAGGAGAGTATGATTTTATATTGCAGGATGCAGCTGCTTCCATGTTGACTGTGGGCAGAGGGGGGTGTGTCGCGGCTGTGACCCCGTCCCTCCCCTCCCGGGGACTGGTTAGTTACATTGTAGCAGTTCCTTGCTGTCTGCGGTGTGGGGGTCCGCGGTAGAGACAGCGGCTGGTGCTGTACATGTCATTGGTGGTTGCTGCAGGAAGAGGGCTGCACAGGAGCTGACACTTCAAGGACGGTCATCCATATACTTTAATCCTTCTTGCTCCATCCATTAGCAGCTGCAGGATGCCCCTGGCTCGCAGCCTATCAGTCACTTCCCTCACCGGGCTGGAGGACTGGGACGATGATTTGGACCTCGACAACAGCGTCCTGTTCGAGGTGGCCTGGGAAGTGGCCAATAAAGGTGAGTGTTTGTGAGGATCAGGGTACAGGCTCAGCACTGTCCGCAGCATTTCCTCCGGGGATTGTGCAATGGCAGTGTATTGTCTATGAAGCTTGTCCAGGCGATGGGCAGCACAGCAGGTCAGTGAATATTCTGGTAGCCACAATGTCAGAATTGTAGGTCATGTATAATAGAGAAACAGCCTGCAGTTCTTTCTGCAGTGCCCATAGGGGATCATACCAAGTACTGCATCTAATTCTGATCTCTGGTTATTAGAGTTTGTGAGGTGAATAGGATACATTTGTAGCCTACACACTGTGATATTTGATATGTTACTGAATCAACAGGGGTGATCGCTAGTAGCTCATGGATGCTGCTAACATCAGCCTTGTAATGTGAATGTCAATCATGATTCAATCTCCTTTTAGCCTTCATTCACATAGTTTTGTTGAGTGTTTCTCAAAGCACAACAATGCAAAACATGAAGAATCCCATTATTTTCTATAGTGCCTGTCGCTTGAAAAAGTAAATGAGCTGCCTGTCAGACAGAATTGTGTGGTTTTGGCCCCATAGACTTCAATGGCAGCGCCTGAATTATGTGCTGGTTTGTGCCTAACAACTGTCTCCTCCTCTTTGTAACTAGCGTTCCATCGGCTAAAACAAAAAAATGCTCAAGCTTGAAGAATCTGCAAATGCGTCAATATTGCCTAAAAATGTGATGTGAACGGAGGCTTAGGGCCTGAGTTGGTGGGCTTTTGTTCACTTCAAATGGGTTTTCCATCCCAATGTCTAAGAATGCTAAATCTGCTGGAAGCAGGTCAGCTGCAGGTCATATACTCCTGTCAATTAATTCTGAATGATCTTGAAAGCATCTTAAACTTTTATTTAAAAGACACAAGCCCAAAGCCCATTGACACAGGCAGTTTGATTTACCAAAAGTGTATAGTAGAAGCCCTACCTAAGGCCCCTTTCAGACTATCTGATCAGAAGGGAATCTGTGCATGGGTCCCCTCCTGATCAGAGCGATACGGATCAGATGTCACTGGTGTGACATCTGTGTCCCTCCAGTTTTTTCCTCCATCAATCGATGTAGGAAAAAAATGAAATGACTGGACCCCATATCGGTCTATGGGGAATCAGATTACCCTGATCCGGCACGAGCAGGTCCAGGGAAATGGAACACTTTTTTCCGTTTTGGTTTTCTGGACCTGTCCGGAGCCTGGGGAAACTGGATGTAAATGGACTTCTGTCTGTTTAGCTTAGGCTGCCCATATACTTATATTGGGCATCCGATTGGGTTTGCTGGCAGGAGGACCTGATCAGAACGCCCATCTGAAAAGTGCCTCAATAATCTACTTAGTTTACATTTAGTCAGGTAGGTTCTCATCCTACATAATTGTTTGTAGATCAAAAGAATATTGTTAAATCTGATTGTAAGGTTATTACCAGTTCAGCGCTTTGATAGATCACTAAAGAAATGTTGTGTAAACTACACAAGTATCACAGGTAGTAGAGATTACCCTACGAGTGTTCCATATTTGTGGGGTCGAATCTCATCTCTGCTTACACCAAAATGAGAGCCATCGCTTCCATCTGTACAGACTGATTTCTATTCTTAGTCATTTTATCAGTACAATTCTAAAAAAACGCTAATGTAACTCTATCTTTAGAAGACCTGGTGAATGTTATAGGTTAAAAATAATTTATCTAGGTAGCTATAATATTGAAAAAGTTGTTTTAGTTAATGGGATGTATGTGCAGTTCTTGGATCCTTTGGTGGATTCCTCTGAACATAATTAGAACATAATTAAAACCTATCTGGAGCTAAGCTTTATTTCAATTTGGATAGGAAATGGTTAAAACCCCAGCCAGTTATTTTTTTGCAATCTGTTTGCCTTTTATTTCCTGTACTGGGAAGTGAGAGAACATTCTCTTAAGGTGCCCATACACTGCACGATTCTCGTACGAGAATCGCGGGAAATCTCACGATCGTATGAGAATCGTGCAGTGTATGGAAGGCGTGCGACCGTTTCTAATGTACGGTCGCACGACTTTTGTATATATCGAGCATGTTGGAAAACCAGCCAAGAATTGTACGATTTTTACGATCGTACGTATGGTTTTTAACATGATCGAGAGATCACTGCCGAAGGGGCCGGTGTGCGTACGCTTCAGCATTGCAGTCATCGGCATTGCAGTCATCGCAAGCCCGCCCCTTAGGGGGGCAGGCTTGCGATGATCGCAAGTACGATTTGACTGTCCAAGATGGGCAGATCGTACGTTTTTTTAAGTACTTTACAACCCTCGCAAGTCTTGTGAGGGTTGTAGAGTGTATGGCCACCTTTTTAGATGGTTGTCCCCATAGGATGATTTTCCTTCTGCTTCTCTTTTGGTGACAACTCAATTTTATGTAGAAGGAATTTCTTTAGTGGGATTATAGACAGCAATATTAACCCCTCACCCCTCTGTAAAAACTTTCTTTTTTTTTAAAATGACAATTTGACTTAATACACTTTTTAGTGTGTTTTTGTTTTCTTTTGTTTTAAAATAGTTTAGTAGTGAAATTCCAGAAAGACTAGCAAACAGGTGGCCATTCCAGGCAGTCAGCGGCACTATAACCATTTTTCCGAATGGCCCCTCTACTGTAAAATTTGCTATGTCGTGCTTTAGGGCTAATGCACACAGCTGTTTTTTTGTTTAAAAAAAAAAGATTTTCAAGATTACAGATTTTCATAAATACAAAAAACAAAAACACAAAGGCTATGTATAAGCAAAACATGATTCGAGGAAAATGACTGAAGAGGAACAGATACAGCATAAAACCGTACCTAAACAAGTGTATTGTTATTGGGCTGCCGTGCACAGCGTGTAAAGATCAGTAAACTTGTGCTGCTTTTAGATCTGTAAAATCAAAAAAAGAAAACTGTCTGTCTGAGGTTTATGTAAACAAATTTGTTAACATTTACATATATACAGTGCAAATGCACTCTATTGTAAATTCACTCTATTGGCTAGAATTATTATATATATTCTAGCCAATAGGTTTGTGTGCATACGCCCCTAAACTCTGTACCTGCATAAAGGTGTAATAATGCACCAAAATGTGCATTTTTGTACACTAGATTTTTCTGCTAGCTTCTAGAAGAAAGATCCAGCCTAGATGGGAGCATACTGTATGTATAAGTCCATTTGCATGAGCCCTAATACCTACCAGAAACGCTGGGCTCCATTCATTAGCCCACGCATGAGTCAAGCCGCAGCAGGTAGGTCAGGTGACCTCTGTCAAAGAGCAAAGAACCGAGATCTTGCCCTTTGATACCAGCCACACATTCTGCTGCTACAGCTGTGCTCAGTGGTTGGCGGCTAAATGAAACGGTGGCTTCTGATTGTTAACTATTAGCAAGTTTTGGCTATTGGTCCACTAATAGGACCGTGGTGGAGATTATTATACAGGATTTATTTATATGATGAATATATGTCAGATTGCTGATCTGAACAAAAAGGTCCACCTTTGCAATATCTTCTGAATCTCATCGGGGAACATGCTACCTGGTACACGCAAAGTGATTCTAGCAAATAAAATATATAAGGGCAGGGCTTGACAAATATGTTGCAGGTTTTTCCTGGCAGAGTTATGCCATCGTGCCATGGGTTGGGTTTGTTGTATCATGCTCTGCTTCTACATGTAGTAAGTGTTTAGTTGTACTTGGCAGGCACATGTCCAGAGGATTTCACACACAAGCCGCATCCTCCATTCATAAAGTTTCATTACCCAAAACTTCATCTTCAGTACTGGGGAACATGTAAGTCTTGTATTTGTTATGGCAGGGCTAGGCAACCTTGAAACAACAGCTGTGGTAAAACTACAAATCCCCACATGCCTGTGGCAGCCAGTCTTAAGGTGCCCATACACCTTACAACCATCGCAAGACTTTTGTCTTGCGATGGTTGTAAGCGAATTAAAAGCTTGTACGATCTGCCCATCCTTGACAGGCAGATCGTACTTGCGATCATCGAAAGCCCGCCCCGCTAAGGGGCGGGCTTCCGATGACTGCAATGCTGAACGGCAGTGTGCGTTTGCGCACACCGGCCCGTTCGGCATTTGTCTTACGAGCATGCTACAAACGCGCTGACAATCGTACGATTCTCGGCGGGTTTTGAAACATGCTCGTTAGACAAAAGACGTGCGACCGTAAAGTAGAAACGGTCGCCCGCCTTACATCCTGCCGATATCGTACGATCGCGGGATTTCCCACGATTATCGTGTCAGTTTTTTGATTTTCTGTCAGTTTTTTTAAACTGTTCCCTTTTTTTTTCTTCATGTTGCAGTGCTCTTGTTAGGGGGAGGGGTTAATTGAGCTCAGGTGTCTCTCATTGAGCAGGTGTATTATAAACTAGTGCATCACTCATTTTGAGCTTGCTCACACAGGGCTTGGGAACAAAGTGCCTGGTAGCTAAGTGGCGTTAAAAAATTGGGGTTTAACCAGGGCGGTTGTAACTTCTTCCAGGGCGGTGGTATAAATTAAATTTAGTTTAACAAACAAGTTATTGACCGTACCACTTGTGAACCATAATTTAACCCAGGTTGGTAGTATAATTCAGTAGCAAGGTGTATGGGCACCTTTTACAATGTCTCATGGTTCTTGTAGTTCCACAACAGCTGAAGTGCCGAGGTTGTCTACCCCTGTGTTTAAGGTAATTACCAGAGAAATGGTAACCATAAGCAGACATACATGCTGGTATTAACTACTGCGGTTTTGAAACCATCTTTGTAACAGGCAAACCATGTTGTGTTGCCATTTGTTTTCAGTGATATCCCAACACCCTAATACAGTTCTGGGCAACACACCTGGACTTGTGCGCTGGGTTAAAAAGATTACCAGTCGAGTGAAATGTTTACTGTGTTGAGGTATACTGCCAGCCCATTCAAAATGAATGAGCTGCCGCATCGTACAGTTAATGCACACTTCGTCAAACCCAATTGTTGTCTTTTATGGTATGCAGGTTTTTGTTTTCCAAGT